AAAAAATACTAGAAGATGTAAAAATAGGTTTAGAGAATAACGAACTTAGAACAGGAAGTTATTTTTCAAGATCTTCAGATTCAGAAATTGTAAATCTAGCAACAGAAATGATGTTAGAAAAGTATAGTTTAAGCGAAAACTGGACTTTTAAACAAGGAATAAATATTAAGAAAAAGGAAGAGTTTGTTCATAAGGATTTATTTGATGTTTTACTGAGATTTAAATCATTTATATTAATAATTTTTATTAAAAACTTAATGGATAAAACAAAAAAATGAAAGATATAACTCAGAAAACTAAATGATAATTCTGAAACAAATTGTTTTACAAGTTGAAAAAAATATTAAATTGAAAGATTAAACACCGTGGTTATTTAAAAAAACCAAAAAAGCTTCTTATAAAAAGAGGCTTGTTTTAAGATTTTTATATAATATCGAATGATGATTCCCTTTGCCGCTTTATTCCAATCAAATTCTTTTGAACGTTGAATATATTTTTCTATATAATAATCTTTATTATTATTATATTTTTCAAGTGCTTTAGCTAATACATCAGCCATATACGCTGAATCAAAATTATCCCAATAGAAAGCATCATCACCTCCTATTTCAGGCAATGATGTTTTATTTGATAAAAGTATTGGTTTTCCAAAACTCATAGCTTCTATAGGAGGTAAACCAAATCCTTCTCCTACCGAAGGAAATAAAAAAGCATCACAGTTCTGCATATAGTACTGTTTGCCGATTTCTGATATTTTATGTAAAATAAACTCTGCTCTCTAACTTCATTCAATAATTAAATTTTTAATTTTTTGTCCATATTCGTTACTATTATTTCCTGCAATAACTAATTTGTAATCTGGAAAAAATGGCATTAGACGGATTATTGATTCAAAATTTTTCTTTTCAATAAATGCACTAATAGTAAAAAAATATGGAGAATCAATTTGTATTCTTGGTTTAAAATCTTTTAAATCTAAACGTTGTGAAATTGAATTACCATTGTAAATAATTTTATTTTCTATACCAGAAATATCAAAATATTTTTCTGTTTGCTCCTTAGCATATTTAGAAATAAATGTTATATAATCAGTTCGTTGTAATTTTTTATAAAAAAGATTCTTTTTCTTTATTGAAAAATCATTTGTATTCTCTTCTGCAAAATTAACATCATGTATTGTTAAAACATATTTCTTAGGCTTAAAATATGGTTCAACACTAATATTTTGATTTAATGAATGCCATACGTCTATATTATTTCTTTTTATAGAAAAAAGATTAAATTTCATAAAATCATAATATTTTATGTAGTCAAATTTTTTTCCAAATTCATTCTTTAATTCATTAATATCTTTTGCTACAAGATGTATATTATCATTAAAATCTAATTGAGAAAATGCTTTAATTAACTCATAATTAAAAACTCCAAAACCAGTAGTTCTATTTTTTAAATTATGAGATTCTAAAATAATTTTATTCATTAGTAAATGATTTAAATTGTTTATGCTTTATTCGTATATTATTTCAACAAAAATAAACATATCTTTGAAACCTATATATAAATATATATTAATAATCTATAAAACAATAAGGATTAATAAAATATTCAAAATCGTTCTCAATAATAATTCCTACAACAAAAAGAAAATTGAATCTAAATCATAAAGTTATGATTCAATTAAATCATAGGCGAGGCAAAGGAAACAAGAAATTCTATAAAAAACCAACTCAATTTAGAACTGGAAAAAATAGTAACTATTAAGTCCTTTCAAGATTCCTTAATATTATCAAATAAATTTTTATAAATTTTTTCCTCATCAAAACTGAAGCGCTCTTTGAATAGCAAATAACTTGTTAACCTTAGTTTTTTAACTAACCATTAACCTTTGCTTATATTTGGAAGAAACTACTAAACAATTCAGTTTCTTAAAAGCTATTATTTATGTGAATTAGTTGAAGCTGATTTAACTTATCGTGAATTAGTTGAAATTCCTGATTATCCAAATAAAATAGAAATTTTAAAACAATTTACTCAATTCACATACCAATTACATGAAGCAGGAATTGAGTTTTTGGATCATTCGCCTGGAAATACATTAATAAAAAAAGTAGGTGAAAATAGTTATGATTTTTATCTGGTAGATCTTAATCGTATGAACTTTCACACAAAGATGGATTTTGAATTGAGAATGAAAAATTTTTCTCGCTTAACTCCATACAATGATATGGTTGAAATAATGGCGAAAGAATATGCTAAACTTATAAATGAAGAAGAAACTAAAGTTATAAATGAAATGTGGAAGAAAACAGAAGAATTTCAAACAAAATTTCATAAAAAACAAGAACGAAAAAAGAAATTAAAAAAATTAATAGGAAAATAAAATCAATAAAAAAAAGCTACTTTTTAGTAGCTTTTTTTATTTTAAATGGTATAAATTATTTACCAAAATTTTGAGTAAATTCTACCTGACCTTTAATATGAACCTCACTCCAAGTTTTAGAAACACCATCTGAACCTTTGTGTAATTCAAAACAAGCTTTGTTTAATGCTTCTAATGCTTTAGTTGTATTAAAATCCATTAAATCAACATCTGCTTCAATTGTAAATACATTATTTTCAAAAGATGAATTTAACTCATAACTTTTGAAGCATTATTTAAAGTTAATTTTAAGAAAGTTTTTCCGTCTTTAAATGATAAATTACCTTTAATTTCCTTTGTATCAATCATATTACCAAATAAAATATCTTTCAATTTTTGGTCACGATCAACTAAGTCAGAATTTATTGTAGCAACTTCCGCAACTATATTAGCACCTTCTAAAACTTCTTGAGGAGTTTTACCTTCTTGATTAGCATCCTTAACTAATACTACATCAAAATGACCAGATACGGGAGTTTTTTCAGTTGTTTTATAAGCTGTCCATTCAACACTTGATTTAGCAATCACACCTTCAACTAAATCTGTAGCTTCTTCTGTTGTAGTAGTTGTTTCTTGTGGAGCTTCCACTTTTTCATCTGTTTTGTTATTACAACTATAGAAAGACATCGCAGAACAGATTGCGATTGCAGTATACAATTTTTTCATTTTATATTTTTTTACTATTACAAACATACGGCAACAAAAAATGAATATACAAATGATTTTAACAAATTTTATTATTTAAATTTGCAATATGCTTAAAAATTTTTTAAATACTTGTTTAATCATATTTTGTTTACCTTTTATACTTATTTACGAAGTTTACTGCTCTATTTATAAGTACAGAAAATAATTGATTAAATTTACCAATTAATTCACATCAATGAAAAATAGAATAATTGGTATAATGGGAGCAATTCCTCAAGAAATAGACGGAGTTGTTCACTTATTATCAAATAAAAAAGAACACAAAATTGGTAATAGAATCTATTACACAGGAGAAATAAATAACCAGCAGATTGTAGTAGTATTTTCGAGAGTTGGTAAAGTTGCAGCTGCAACAACAGTTTCTACGCTTATTATAAAATTTAATATAACAGAATTAGTTTTTACAGGTGTTGCAGGAGGCAATACATCCTTCATTAAAAATAGGTGATATCGTTTTAGGAAGAACATTAATACAGTATGATATGAGTGCTGAACCTTTATTTCCTAAATTCGAAATTCCTTTATTAAAAAAATCTTATTTTGATTCTGATCAAAGTTTATTGGATATTTCATCAAATGCTATCAAAACTTTATTAGAAGATAATTATTTACATCATGTAATTGATGAAAGTGATTTAAATAAATTTGATATTCACTCACCTAAATTACATATTGGATTAATTGCTTCTGGAGATTTATTTTTTTCGACTACAAAACAAAAAGAAAACTTACAAAATATGTTACCTGATGTTCTTTGTGTAGAAATGGAAGGTGCTGCAGTAGCTCAAGTTTGTTATGAATTTGATTTACCATTTACTGTTATTCGTACAATATCTGATGAAGCAGATGAAGAAGCTACTATAGATTTCACAAAATTTATAGAAAAAATTTCAAATGTATATTCTATAGAAATTATAAAAAACATCATCAAGTAAAAGTCCTTTATAAAGGGCTTTTCTTTTGATGTACACATTAATAAAATAATTGTTTTATTCTAAAACTGAAGTAAGTTTTGTGGGGAGAGCAGGATTCGAACCTGCGAAGGTGAAACCAACGGATTTACAGTCCGTCCTCGTTGGCCGCTTGAGTATCTCCCCAACCTTATATTTTTACTGAGCCGATAGAGGGACTCGAACCCACGACCTGCTGATTACAAATCAGCTGCTCTAGCCAGCTGAGCTACATCGGTTCTTATAAAATAATTTATTTAGTTTTAAAAGTATATAAAATAAAAGCTTATTGAAGCTCTCTATATATATCTTCGAACCACCCACCTCTGATTAGCAACATCATCTGCTCTAGCTAGCTGAGCTACATGGCTGTATTGTCGGGGAGAGCAGGATTCGCAACCTGCGAACGGATGAAACCCAACGGATTATACAGTCCCGTTACCTCGTTGGCCGCTTGGAGTATCTATCCCCAACTAATATTTTTACTGATGCACCATAGAGGGACTCGACACACAGACTGCGATGATGTAAAATACAGTGTGCTGCACGAGCGAGACCTACATCGGCCAAAGGAATAAGTTATTAGTTTTAATAAGTCCTTTGAATTTATTCCACATACACACTCCAAGTCCACTTTCTTTTCTTTAGATAGAATCGTGTCCCTTTTTTCGTGGTGCAATATTAGGCGCAGTTTTTCGAATCTCGCAATGTTTTTATTTAATATTTTTTACTTTTTTCTAATTTTAAGTTACTATTATTTGATTTTCAAGAAATTTCTATATTTAAAAAAATTACAAAATAAAAGAAAAAAGATAATATCATTTAATTAGACTTTCATACTTTTGTATTCAATAAAAAATAAATGCAGCTTTTATAGATTAGTTTAAATCACTATTCGGAGCAATTGCCTTTTTATTTAGCTATTAAAATTACTAAGTGAAAATTTACAAGCTTTATATCTGGATCAAATTTAAGAACAGGACCTTAAATAAACTTACAAAAAACAATTTATCAACCATACTTACTGGTACAGTTTTTACAACTGCTATTCAGTCGTCATCTGCTGCAAGTGTTTTTATACTAGGTTTTGTAAATGCAGGTTTTATTAATTTAAAAAAAGCATTTGGTCTTATACTTGGAGCTAATATTGGCACAACAATTACTCTTTGGCTTGTATATTTTGGAATGAAATTCGATTTAATTGAAATAGCTCTTCCATTAATTTTAATTGCATTTCCTTTTTACTTATCTAAAAAAAGAAATAAAAGAAAAATTGGAGGAATCTTATTTTCTTTATCTTTATTATTCTTTGCTTTATTTTTTTTAAAAAACTTTATTCCATCAATTGAAGAGCATCAAGAAGTACAAGATTTTTTCCATCATTTATCTCAACAAAGTTTATTAACCAATATATTATTCATTTTAATAGGAATTGTAATTACAATTGTAGTTCATTTCTCTTCTGCTTCGATAACAATAGCAATATTACTAACAAGCAAAGGACTGCCTGCAGAATTAGCTGCTATGATTGTTCTCGGAGCAAATATGAGGAACAACATTTAACAGCTATTTAGTCGCAGCTATAGGAGATCGATTAACTAAAGTTGTAGCCGTATTCCATACTTTTTTCAACATTATTGTTGCTATAGTTTTTTTATTTTTAGGAGAATACCTTTTACAATTCATTAATAATAACATATCTACTAACTTATCTATTCAGTTAATTAGTTTTGATACAATTACAAATATTTTTGGAGTTCTTATATTTTATCCTTTTGTAAATAAAATAGCTATTTTTTGCCAGAAAAGATATTTCTCAATTAATCAACCGGATAAAAAAATTGAATTTTACGCTATACCATTTGGTACAAACTCTGACTTATATAAAAATGAAGCTAATAAAAAATTATTAAAATTAGCAACAACAACTAAACAAGCTATATATA